GCTGGTGTTCAGGTGTATATCAGTATGTAGTGTCTCTACTTTAAAGAGTCCTCTCCTGCTGATGTTCAGGTGTATATCAGTATTTAGTGTCTCTACTTTAAAGAGTCCTCTCCTGCTGATGTTCAGGTGTATATCAGTATGTAGTGTCTCTACTTTAAAGAGTCCTCTCCTGCTGATGTTCAGGTGTATATCAGTATGTAGTGTCTCTACTTTAAAGAGTGCTCTCCTGCTGATGTTCAGGTGTATATCAGTATTTAGTGTCTCTACTTTAAAGAGTCCTCTCCTGCTGATGTTCAGGTGTATATCAGTATGTAGTGTCTCTACTTTAAAGAGTCCTCTCCTGCTGATGTTCAGGTGTATATCAGTATTTAGTGTCTCTACTTTAAAGAGTCCTCTCCTGCTGATGTTCAGGTGTATATCAGTATGTAGTGTCTCTACTTTAAAGAGTCCTCTCCTGCTGATGTTCAGGTGTATATCAGTATGTAGTGTCTCTACTTAAAGAGTCCTCTCCTGCTGATGTTCAGGTGTATATCAGTATTTAGTGTCTCTACTTTAAAGAGTCCTCTCCTGCTGATGTTCAGGTGTATATCAGTATTTAGTGTCTCTACTTTAAAGAGTCCTCTCCTGCTGATGTTCAGGTTGTATATCAGTATTTAGTGTCTCTACTTTAAAGAGTCCTCTCCTGCTGATGTTCAGGTGTATATCAGTATGTAGTGTCTCTACTTTAAAGAGTCCTCTCCTGCTGATGTTCAGGTGTATATCAGTATGTAGTGTCTCTACTTTAAAGAGTCCTCTCCTGCTGATGTTCAGGTGTATATCAGTATGTAGTGTCTCTACTTTAAAGAGTCCTCTCCTGCTGATGTTCAGGTGTATATCAGTATTTAGTGTCTCTACTTTAAAGAGTCCTCTCCTGCTGATGTTCAGGTGTATATCAGTATGTAGTGTCTCTACTTTAAAGAGTCCTCTCCTGGGGGTGAGGGAGGCGCTCGTGAATTGTTGCTACGGAAACAGAGGGGTTTTAGGTCATAGATTTTAGGTTGCCATAAGGCTGTTGACGGTCTTATTATAGGCTACATCCATTGGTTGGTTTTGTGGCACATTTGTAACGCTGTGCCAACTTGGGCAAGATCGCAGGCAAACCTGAGGAGCGCACACAGGGTGGAGAGGTGGAGTGAGGTTGAGCCATGGAGAGAAAGGGAGAGAGAGAGATATATTGAGCGAGGCAGAGAGCGTGTGCAGCGGTCTGCTTGCGCACAGAGCCGGAGTTTGTGAGAGAGCCGTCTTGAGAGTCAATTTCTCTTCAAAATATAATTGATTGCCAGCCTCCCTTGTCCCTGGCTGGCTTGCTAGCTCGTTGGTAACGTAACTGATGTCTTCTAATGTGCCAGCATCTGGCGCTGAGTTGCCATATTCCTTTCATGAACCACTTCCTGATATCCATTGTTGCAGATAAATATAAATGATAATAGCCAAACTAACCTAGCAAGAGTAAACTGACAGGCTGCTGTGCCGCATTTCACTCAAGACCCCACACGACTCAACCCAGCGAAAAACCAGCCTCGCGCGCAGCCTTTCATTCAGAATTTCATTCAGAATTTCTTAGCAAAATAAAAAAATGATATTAAACTAATCTTTCAACATAGTTTAAAACTAAAATAAATATTAGGACAAAGCTCTACAAATAACAACAATAAACATAATAATAAAACAATTGAAATGTTGTATTCAGCACTGATTAAAACAGCGGGCCCAAATCCTGGATGGGCGGGCCCGGCCCCATGGGGCCCGCCCATGACGCCGGGTCTGGCCCAGCGCACCAACGGAGAGAGACTAACTTATGGCAACACAAAAGAAAACATGGGAGCGGTGGAGATGAGGAGGTGTCGGCGTTCTGGCGATTTACTCGGAAGGCTTCAGTAGAAGCTGCTGGGAGTCCCAGCAGCTTCTACTGAAGCCAGTCCCCAACTCCGGGCACTTTGGGTGGCAGTATACGCCGTGAAGTGGTTTGCGGCCTGCCAGTAAACCCAAAGCAGAAGAAGTGACGTCAGCGGCTCCATTTGCCTAATCCTCCCTCAGGGACTTATTCCGGTGTGAACGCGATCTGCTCTTCATTTCATCAGAACTAAAGAGTTCTGATGAAATGAAGCTCAGCGCAAGTTCAACCAGGAAGACCTTCTTTACTCATTCATTCACTATTTCCATGTTACTACTCTCTCTCCTCTCAATAAGTGATCGGGGGCATCACTCCCCAGCTTAACCAATCACTTCGCTCTATTCTCACAAGCCTATCATAGCGCTCCGCTAAACCTTTTAAATCTGCTCTCCCCTCTGACAGCTCTCATTCCAGGTGAATCGGCGCAACCCTCCTCCACCCCTCTTCACCTCCCGTCCATCTGAATCCAGGGTCAAGCTAAGCCACTCCTCTTCAGACCGACCCCAGCTATCCATTCACCACTACCAGTGTCTAGACCCCGGGGGATTTCATCGGATCGGTTCTCCCTTCCCGAATGATATTCCTGCACAACGGGGCCTAATCGCCAAAACTCCTTTACATTCATGTGTATTTCTGGCAATAAATATGTACTCTTACATCAAAACTGTCTCTCCTGATTGAACTAAGTACGGCAAAGTACTTAGTGTGAAAGCGCCTATTGATATCACTAGGTTCTGGAACTTTTTGATTTTAGCCTTTGCAGCCCATTTACATGCACAAAAACCTATATTACTACAGGGAAGGGTAAAAACCATAATAGGTACTCTTTAAATATTACTTTTATGTGGATAACCTCAAACCCACACACTGCATGTATGCAATACGAAAACACGGTAAACAAATAGATGTGAATGAGACAGTTTCTACGTTTTCCAACGTTTTATCTGATCATCATCATGTTGTTTGGCAGAGAAGTGTCTGAATCCGCAGTATGAAATCAAAACACATGAAACTGCAGATCTCCACAAGGCGTCTTTGATATTCCTTTGACGTGGTCTATCCTCTCCAACTCATTTGCATGTGTTTACCTAAGGCAAATCACTGTGATGTGTCTTTTATATAAGTGCCAAACATTCCTGAGAAGGGCTTTTTAACTCGGGTTATAAAGTAAAGTCTAAGTTTAAGAGCAGAGGTGGGAAGTAGTGGAGTACAAATACTTTGTTACTGTACCTGGTGTCAGTACTTTACTCCACTACATATTTTTCTGACGACTTTTTACTTTCTACTTCTTACATGTTGAACACAAATACCTGTACTTTCTACTTCTTACATGTTGAACACAAATACCTGTACTTTCTACTTCTTACATGTTGAACACAAATACCTGTACTTTCTACTTCTCTCATTTTGAACTCAAATACCTGTACTTTCTACTTCTTACATGTTGAACTCAAATACCTGTACTTTCTACTTCTTACATGTTGAACTCAAATACCTGTACTTTCTACTTCTTACATGTTGAACTCAAATACCTGTACTTTCTACTTCTCTCATTTTGAACTCAAATACCTGTACTTTCTACTTCTTACATGTTGAACTCAAATACCTGTACTTTCTACTTCTTACATGTTGAACTCAAATACCTGTACTTTCTACTTTTTACATGTTGAACACAAATACCTGTACTTTCTACTTTTTACATGTTGAACACAAATACCTGTACTTTCTACTTCTTACATGTTGAACACAAATACCTGTACTTTCTACTTCTTACATGTTGAACACTAATACCTGTACTTTCTACTTCTTACATTTTGAACTCAAATACCTGTACTTTCTACTTCTTACATGTTGAACACAAATACCTGTACTTTCTACTTCTTACATGTTGAACACAAATACCTGTACTTTCTACTTCTTACATGTTGAACTCAAATACCTGTACTTTCTACTTCTCACATGTTGAACTCAAATACCTGAACTTTCTACTTCTTACATGTTGAACTCAAATACCTGAACTTTCTACTTCTTACATGTTGAACTCAAATACCTGTACTTTCTACTTCTTACATGTTGAACTCAAATACCTGTACTTTCTACTTCTTACATGTTGAACTCAAATACCTGAACTTTCTACTTCTTACATGTTGAACTCAAATACCTGTACTTTCTACTTCTTACATGTTGAACTCAAATACCTGTACTTTCTACTTCTTACATGTTGAACGCAAATACCTGTACTTTCTACTTCTTACATGTTGAACTCAAATACCTGTACTTTCTACTTCTTACATGTTGAACTCAAATACCTGTACTTTCTACTTCTCACATGTTGAACCCAAATACCTGTACTTTCTACTTCTTACATGTTGAACTCAAATACCTGAACTTTCTACTTCTTACATGTTGAACACAAATACCTGTACTTTCTACTTCTTACATGTTGAACACAAATACCTGTACTTTCTACTTCTTACATGTTGAACACTAATACCTGTACTTTCTACTTCTTACATTTTGAACTCAAATACCTGTACTTTCTACTTCTTACATGTTGAACTCAAATACCTGTACTTTCTACTTCTTACATGTTGAACTCAAATACTTGTACTTTCTACTTCTCTCATTTCCCAAACAGCTGGTTCCTTTAGTCTGAATGTGTGTTTGATGCGTGATCATTATTCTTTAGAGTCATTGCGTGCCTATTGATTTGAACACGATCCGTGTATCCATCATTTCCTGGTCTTCTCTAAAGAAGAGGGACCAATGGAAACGTTGTCATGTTGCCGTTGTTCAGCATGGAAACATTCATTAGCTAACAATGACATTATTGTTCTATTAATATAAAGGGAGGTCAGGTACTCTTTAAAACAGCTGCTAGTTATGGGTACTTTCTACTGAAGTACATTTCAAAGCCTCTTTACTTTCACTTGAGTAAAGAAGTTTAGTCAGTACTTCTACTTTCACCAGAGTATTTTTAAACACAAGTATCTGTACTTCTACTTGAGTAAAGGATGTGTGTACTTTTGCCCTCTCTGTTTAAGAGGTGTATGTTTCTTTGTGCTACCTGGGTCAGTTGCAGAGACAATGGCACCAAACAGGAGGCAGTCAGTGAGGAGGAAGTCTCCATCAGCTGCTCGGCCCATCAGCACCATCAGTCTGGTGAAGCCGTAGACGCAGGACCTGTGATGGAGGACAGAAGGACAGATAATGAGGTCAGTATATCAGTCTTCCCTCTAACCACAGCAGGGCTTCCCCCAGGGCAGTGTGGGTAATAAGGGCCAGATGCTACCAGCAGGTGAGTTGGCAGCAGCTGCTTAGCACAAGTTCCCCTGCTTTAAAGGTCACCTATTATGCAAAATCCACTTGTGGAAAGAGATTCTGAAAGATTCTCTCTCTTTTTGATCCATTTCTATAAAAACCTGTCTGAAAATCAGCTGATCAGATTTTGGCCACTTTATGATGTCATAACGATGTTTTGTCTTGTGTCACCATTAGCCAATCAGCAACCAAGGTAACCCCCCCCCCCCCCCCCCCCCCTTATCACCTGAATCTCCTCTAGAGCACCATTGAGTTCTTTGTAACCAAATGTCTCTCAGAGGGGCGTGGGGAGGGGCTCCTTATTTTCAAGTAACAGACAGAGAATCAGCACTTTGGAAACAGGGCTGAAACAGGGGATTATGGGTAATGCTGCAGTGATCTGTCTGGTGTTTTGAGCCAATCAGAGACAGGCTCTGTATATATCTGAGACCTGTGATATATTGATGAACAACAGTATAATAGGGGACCTTTAACTGAACCATGTTTACCAGTATACAGTGTGTGTGTATGGATCTACATGCGGCCTTTAAACCCACCTGCATAATGCAAAGACAAACGACAAATACTCTCTTTTGAAGACACCGCAGCACCTATCAATCTTCATCCTTTGATGTCACTATTATTAATAATAATAAAAGGACAACGGAAATATGAGTGTGTGACTTTGAGCAACAACTTTCCATTCTGCTTTCCAGCCCTTTACTGGTTACAGGTACATAAAAAGAGATCATATTACTGTCACATTAAAACAAATAAGAGATCTTTTGCCAAAAGAAAGGAATCAGGTTACTTACATGTTCATACTCAGAAACACATTTTTACTAACTAACTAGTAATTCTAACAGAACACATGAACGAATCTTCTTAGATTGAAGCATGCCATAATGTCAGTACACCAACTCTCTAACCATTGGCATAATTATGTTACCATGGTGACCGCACATGACCTGTCCCCATGGCTGGGATTTAAAAGACTGCCCTAAGGTCGCGCAGCTAATCCGTTTTAATTCATGTATCTTTACCGAGTTATTTGAAGTTATGCTAATGACGTGTGTGTACGTGTGTGTGTGTGTGTGTGTGTGTGTGTGTGTGTGTGTACGTGTGTGTGTGTACGTGTGTGTGTGTGTGTGTGTGTGTGTGTGTGTGTGTGTGTGTGTGTCACACAGACAGAGATAGACAGGAAGTGGATTTACTGTGTCAGTTGAGTCAGTAAGGCTCCCCTGAGACTCTCTCTCTTTCCCCAGGAGACATAGCAGACTCTCTAACAAGCCCCCTGATTGGTCAGGCCCGGTGTTTTAGCATCAAAGAATGTGCACGTGACCCAACATGTCAAACCGTGCCCTGCTTCCCAAGGGAGTTAGAGGGGAGAATTTGTAAAAAAAATTAAATGAATAAGGCGTGCCTGAGGCTATAACATCTAGAGGGTATGATCCTTTTCTCATGGACGTAACATCTGTAAACAAAGGAAATGTGGAAATATTGTAGTACTAGGTAGTAGCTTTAAAGAGGGTCAGAATATGAGTAAATATTGATATTACATGTGGGAAATATATCAAATACACTTATCTGTATTTCATATTTGTTACAATTTATATATGCCTAAGCCCTGCACTTTATCCATGCTCTAAACTGCACCTGCAGGCAAAAGCTGTTAATATTAGTTTCCCATTTATACAAAATAGTCTGCATCTTGCCTCCAGTGGCGATCCTAGAGTCGGTGGGGGCCCTAGGCAAACATTCACTGGGGGCCCCTCGAACCAACTTTTCATCACCACGCACAGCCGACAGCAAGGCAACAAAACTTAAGATGAGAAGCATTTTACGGTGCGCTATGCATGGGGTGCCTTGAGGGGGTTTCCCGACATGTCGTTGCAGTAAATTAAAGGGTGTTTCATGTTGTCGTTGCTGTGGACCTTCTTAATCTACCTTCTTTGGGGGCCCCCTTCTGGTCCGGGGCCCCAAGCAGTTGCCTGCATTGGCTGTTCGCAAGGAGCGCCCCTGCTTGCCTCACATTTGCATTCAACTGTGATACTGTATTAAACGGTAACCTCATGCGCTGTCTGGTTAGATGCAAGCTGCATGTTGTACTGTGTGTGATGACAATAACATTGAATCTATAAAAGTTGACTTCATAGCAGTGGAATTGCACTGTATTGCGTTGGATTATACAGGTGTACCGACAGTAATAAACTGGAGTGAACTGTATATTGCTGTAGTTGAACTATAGGCTACCGTTTTTATATGAAATCTCAAAAATGTAATGTATAATCCTTTGGAAGGTTTTTAATAAAATCAACGGCAATTCAATATTTTTGACAAAGGATCCACAAAGTGTTTTTTTGTTTACAGTCTCTGTGTTTACAGCAAATTGTGTGTATTATAACTGGTTTTTCCAGGTATGGAGAAAGACACCAAAGAGCTTCATTTCCTCCAAAGACTGACAGCGCCATCTGGCGGTGAGAGGCTAGAATAGCAACCCATTTCCATACAAAGTCTGAGCATGTTTTCATCAGTTTACCATGCTCTTAACTCACTCTGCAGAGCCATTCATTCAGTATTCTGACGTATAGTCCGAAAGAAAGCACCATTGTCATTAGTAAACCTTAAAGACAGGGATATGCAGGAATCCTGAAGTCAAATGTAAAACCTTTTAAGACCTTTTTTAAGACCCTTTCCATACATTTTAAGACCTCATCTCCACTTTGAGTTTTAACCGGTTACCTTGGCGACACACTTTACCTCCCATTGACTATATACAGTATTGATTGTCCTTCCTCCTTATCTTCCAACCATTTGGACGCAGACTTGCATTTCCCCATAACGATGTTGTTTAGCAACCGGCGTAAACGGACCTCCGCGCGCTATCAAGCAGTGAGCGCGCGATGTCTTGTTCAGATGACGTCAGATCCAACGGGATGCCATCAATAAACTACACAGAATCACACTACACACCTACGCCATGATTACATTCAGGCAGACTGTAGAATACAACCTCTTTGGACCATTTATATACTTATTGAAAACAAGCTACAAAATGTAAAACCTTGGAAAATACTGTTTTTAATAGCCTTACTTTTCGCTAAATTGATTTATCAACTTTTAATACTTGTTAAGACCCCGCGGACCCCCTGAAAGATCTCATTGACAGCTTCAAACAGAGCAGTAATTAACGTGATTACTCACACCTGTTCATTTCCTACTGTAACAAAAGCCCATTTTACCACAATGCATTGCAGCGAGAGAAGCTCCTCACAGCTGCAAACAGTTTGAGGTAATTGCGGACGTGATAACACATCTACCAAGAGATATCCATAAAATCTTTGCACCAGCTTTCTTCTGAGTAAAATACATTGTTTTTTGTGTATCTATGTTTTTGTGCACCTGCAAGTGAGCATTTTAACTATAATATGATACAAAAATGAACACTTATACAGCGTTATGTGCGTGTTATTAGAATTTCTAGACTCACAGATGGTAGTTTCTAATATGTTTGACACTAGATGCCTGCGTACATCTTGATAAATGTTAAATCCCTGTGCTTACAGAGACTGCAAGTGAAATTACTCCATGGACGTAAATTGATTTATGCCAGAAAGTCTTATATTTTATTAAAGTGTATGCTGTTATGAGCCAATTAATTTAGATTATGCACAGTGGAACGATGTGAAAAGCAAGTACCCACTATCTCTTTCATCTGTGCACCCCAGTGGCGGTGCCAGGCTATGGCTGGGGTAGGCTACAGCCACACCAAGAAAGGGCTTAGCCCCACCATGAAACATGATGTTAAAGTAAGCTAAATCAATTAAATAATAAGCTAAATGTTGAGAACACAGATTGCAAAAATATACGGGTTGTGTCCACAACACACAAACTGATCCTGCTGTAACAACAAGTGCACGTTACTGATGCGTTATGGTTGAGACCATTCGGGGTTATGCTAGAAGAGGGGACCAAGGAATAGTCCAAGTAGTGGGGGAGTTTTATTCACTAAAGGTGTGGAAATTCTCTGGCGTTATAATATCAGCGCGGCCGCGGTCAGATCAAAATGCCTCCGAATGCAATTTGAATAGACCTACAGCCAATCAGAGCAACGAAACGTTGGGTCTGCGTCATGCCTTACTGATTGAGATCAGTGGAACCGTCATTCAGTATCCCCTTTGGATCTTCAACGTGTACTATCATACGTCACGTTCACAGTGATCGCTTTTTATTCACTACAAGACAAATGTGCCGTTTTATTTCATACAGTTCCATTTTGATTGAGACAGGGAAATAATCTAAACCTCACGCGTGGCTTTCACTGTCAAGGGGGGCGATGTAGCGTGTACGTAATTACATTGCAAATACAGACTTGAGCCCCACCACTGTATGGGTTAGCCCTACCAGAGGTTACCCAACAAAAATACTCTGGCGCCGCCACTGGCTACTACTAACCTTGTGTGTGTTATTTAAAAATAAATGCTTACCCTATGGTGAAACAGCTGATTACGGTTCCCAAAAACGCAAAGGTCAGAATAGATCCAAGATTCCCAATTAATCGTTTCTGGAGAAAAAGAAAAATGAACACCAATTAGTAACAACAAATACACACGGCTCAACAATATCCAACACAGTGACTTAAAGTGTATATTTATATACTTATGCACAAAAACCTAGATAACTACTGGAAAGGGAAAACCCCCAAAAAGTACAATAGGGCCGGTTTGAGCATCACAAGTCGAGTGCGTTGTATATTATATATAGACGACATCTTACGCCCGTTATCTCCAAAACTCTCGGTAAAACATCCAGATGTGTAAAATGAAGTATATACATGCATTTGTGTCCATGTCACACACATCACATGATATTTCTCCCTCTGATGGAGCCTCCTCACAGAGTTACAGTCCTTTGAAGGCGTCTCCTCTCCTCCTCGGAGGCATGTCAGGACAGCAGTCTCACCTGATTAAGGGTGTAAGCTCCGTGGAAGATGATGGGTGGCAGGAACAGATTGAAAAGGACCTCGGGATCAAAGGTCTCCTGTAAAAGACAGACCAGTTGTGTTGGTGAGTGGCAGCGCTCCGTGGGGAGGAGAGGTCTCCGCTTAGCGAATGTGACAGACTGACAGACAGATATTACACAACCGTGGTTCACTTCAGCGCCTCTGTTTTGGCAGCTCTTTTTTCCCTTTGGATCCCAATGTCACAATAGTCTCTAGGTACCGTGACAACCTTATCTGTCCTCTCTATTAAAAACACTATTCCACATTGTTAGTAGTAAAAAATAAAGTGTGACAATGCAGGCTTTTTTTACCCACCCACGAACGAAGAGTTAGCAACCAATGTATGTATACGAATAATCTATTAAAGTCTAATTTACCTATAATATAATTACTATGTACTGCAATGGCGAGAAAAGCGTATTAAAAAGTGAGAAGCCGACCTGTTAACATAGAGGGAAGAACAACAAAACAAAGAAGGAGAAGAAGACCCTTTATCACCAAGGGATATTATACACACACTGCTCGATTATGGCAAAAATCATAATCTGGATTATCTGGGTCAATAATTGTAATTCCGATTATTAAATGCGATTATTCATTGACTTTGAAAACATCCATTTATTGGAGAATTTTTTTTGAACAGTTTGTTTTTAACAGTTGATTACCCTGAACTTAAAAAAATATCGTTTTATTTCGATTACGTTGTTTTCGTAATCGTTGCAAGCCATAATCGTAATCGCGATTAAAATACGATTAATTGAGCAGCCCTAATACACACACTACAGTACACACACACACTACAGTACACACACATCCACAGGAGCTATGCACAGTGAAGCTGCACATGTGGACATGATAGATGGATCGACATCAAACAGAATCACAACAGCCTACACCACCTTGGAAGCAAACTGTAACGAGTGCAAGGCTTATTTTATTGTAACACACCGTGCACATCCTGTATCTGAGTCTCATCCCAGCCAACGTGACGCAACGTGAGAAAAGGTAGCCTTTCATGTCCTTCATCCTCCAGTCCTTCTCATGTCTATTGTGGGTAGGATCAAACGGCACAGATATTCCATTCAGAAGAAAATAACGCAACTTTTTCCTGACCCCCCCCCCGGGTCTTACATTAAATTCCAGTTCAATTCCATTTTCAGAGATGTGCGGAGGATGCATGCTGTGCGTCACAGACCTTTTGAAGTTTGGACAAATGAGAATAGGCAAATGTTTCTACTGGAAATAGCATTTTTACATCGATGTGTAAGATTGCATTTGAATGATCAATCCTGATGCTGCAAAGCCCTTTCTATTCTATTTCTATCTACGGTTTCCAGAGCTTTCTACAAATTGCTCTGCTCCGATCACCCGGCTCAATATAAATTACTTTTTCGCGGCTGCAATTACCCACACAGCAGAATATATGCATCTTCTCATCTGTGCATGTCAAATATAAAATGCCACAATACAGAGTGTCATCAATAAATGATACGTATGCTGGTGGTTTTATTCTAAGGGCCACCGGCACCACAGACTGAAGGATGGAGGTGGGTTGTATACACTAATTGCCTCTTCAGCTGAGCAGCACTACATTTAATCAGACCACAAACTTTAATGCTTTACTCCCGAGAGGCACATAATGGACTCAGTAATGCAATGAAATTCGTATCTCTCTCGCAGCTAGGTCCCATATGCATTAGGCTTAATGGCGTGAAGGCTACACAGAGCGCTCTGACCAATGTAATGGCCTTCATGGTAGCCTCTGCTGGTTTGCTAATGAGACCCGAGCATCCAACGGGGGCCAAAGAGTCCGAGCCATTAGTGGAGACTTACACTTGGCCCCGGATGATTTGCAAGGTCCACGGATCACTTACTCCCTTTTCTCTCTCGGGGTGAAATATCGCTGGAAATACACTTTTTAAATACGCTCATTTCACATCCGACCATGCTTGTTCTCCATCGAGGGGCCATGGCTCGATGCGTGGGTGCTTTTTGATATCGTGAATAACGTGATCAGAATACAACAAGAAAGTGGCTGTATTCCCTTAGATATATAAAAAAGATCAGATTAATGTCACATTTAAAAAGATTGGGGATTACTAGAATCATTAGAGTGTTAGTAACAACCTAACAACATCATATAGTGTGTGTCGTAAAGGATCAGATGTTATCTCTTCTCTGTCAGCGGTTCTGTTCTGTAGGATAATACTTTCAGAGTGAATCTATACTGCCTGAATCTGCTTCATGGGTTTCACTTTCTTTGCTCCATGTGTTCTGGTTTTAACTCAGCAGGTGAACCGATATGTTCATACACTAGTGTGTGTGAGCTTCACTGTGGCCGTTTCTCAATCGCGAGGATGCTTGCTTGGTAGCACATGTCTTCCGAGTCACTTGCTTCAGAAGCTAGGCAAGAATCCTTCCTGGCATTCGGAAAACGAAGAGTGGAACAGGCGAGCAAGTGTGCGTCACATTTTCCGCCACAGATTTTGGGGAAATTGGTCCGTGCGCAAAGCATTATGGGGATTTTAAGGACGCGAAGTCTACCCATGTGCAGCCTCGAAATGACCCCCAAACCAAGGACCTCGGTGGAATTCCAAGTATGCTGGAGATTGGAACAGTCCTTCGGCGGCACTAGATGACGTAGCATCCTTGAAATATTGGCTTGGAAGACAGAATCCTCGAGATTGAGAAACGAAAACGGAGCATTTTCTGCTTTTTTAAACTAGTCTGTGTTCATGTGATTCACTGTTGGTGTTTAGGCTGAATCTGCGTCATGAAAGGCAGGTTTCGCTATCAATAAAATCCTTTTTGATCCTAAATATCTTAGTTTCTACTTTTCTGAGGTCACATTGTTCTGTTGTCTTACACAATACACTTAAGTAAAACAAACCTTATTGATATTTCCTTTCTTTTGTATTCCTTTGTGTTGCAATCGAGGCTATGAAAACCACAGTAAATGCTTCTACTTAATAATTGCTGTGAGGAGTTTCCAGCTCAATTATTCCTGTTGCGCATTAGAGGACACACATTACACAAATATACTTTGATAAAGGGTTTATGTATGTAGAATTTAAATAAGCATTAAAAAAACATAACGCTTCCTCCTGGTTACAAGATCAAATATAACAATTTGATTCCACCCGAAAACCTTGAAATTGCTTCTCATTGATCGTAACATTAGTGCAACTCCCTTTTCTCTCCTCCGTGTGATTAATTCAAAATGCGCGAGAGAACATTTTTGAAATGCACTTTTTAAGCTAAGAATATTTTTACATTTGATTTAACTCCTCACGTCCGGGAGTCCTCCAAATGTGGCTTTAAGACGCTCCTTAAAAAACCCTTTCTATATGATCCTTCTAATCTTAACTTCACACACTATATCTTTTATTGCTTTAAATTAGATTTTTTAAAAGCTTTTTTGATTATATTTGATGTCTTATTTTCAATGGTTTAATGTTTTAGGATTTAGTGCTTTTTTGTGCTCTTACCCTGTAAATCACATTGAAAAGTGCTTTCTTTTAATTTATTATTATTACGAGTACTTTAATGGAATAAAAACACCAAAAAAAGTATCTTATGTTGTGGTACCTTTGTCTATAGTGTACACTGACAAGTCTGTATATTAATATTGTTTATTCGGTAGAGATGCTCTATAGATGTATATCTTTCCTATCTCTATTTATTTTCTTTCATGTGCAATGCCTTGTCTTCATGCTGCTAAGATGAAACACAATCCCACATTTGGATCAATAAAGTATATCTAATCTAGTTGTGTTCAATGTATGTTATCCATTGTTTGCAGGATGTACCTTTAAGATGTTGTTAGAATAAAGCCACACACACACACACACACACACACACACACACACACACACACACACACACACACACACACACACACACACACACACACACACACACACACACACACACACACACACACACACACACACACACACCACACACACACACACACACCACACACACACACACACACACACACACACACACCACACACACACACACACACACACACACACACACACACACACACACACACACACACACACACACACACACACACACACACACACACACACACACACACACAACACACACACACACCACACACACCACACACACACACACACTTAGAGGGGACTGTCTCTGCAGATAAACACTAGGGAGAAAATATAGGTGTAGGAAGAAAAAGTGTTATTTCAGAGCAAATAAAAGTGCATCAGTGTGAGAGAAAGCATCCTTTGTTTCCACTCGTTCCTCTGCAACATTGATTTTGTACCTTTTTGTAAAGTGCATGTTTTATTAAGACAGGTTGCTTCACCTTCCATTAGAGACTATGTTGTGGCACAACCTGCAGCACCTATGCACATTAATAATTCACTTTTTGTTGCATGTATTTGAAATGCAGGTCAATTCAAATCACCATATGAGGGGTTGAGAGCGCTGGGACTCCATCACTGACTTTCCTAACGTTTCGTGGAGGTTGAGATGTGATGTTAACCGTCAGGAAGTGAGGTGTGATGTTAAGACCACTGCAATCGCACAATGCCTCCATGTTGTCCAGGTTTTCTCCCCGGTCAAATGACAGGAATTTCACAGCTAGCCCCACGAGCATGCCTGCAAAATAGAGCCACAAAGACATATAAGCTGCTGTTGTAAAAACGAATACATTATGAATAATACAACCATATTCCAGGAGTAAATCAATCATGGTGCAGCTACTATAATGCAAACAACGACTTATGGTGACAGTCCTGTAGAGACACAACCCTGTACAACAAAGCCTATCAGAAGACGTCTAAAATACATGCTGCTATACAGATAACACTTTGAAATGCAAAGTTAATATTGCATGATTGAAGGAGGATAACTCACTGGTGAGACTTTAATAGTGTTTGGGATCTGGAGCAATATATGCAGCCTGTTTGGTGACATGACAGCCTCAATTAGAAGTGTGAGCCCAATGTCAAGAGGTGGAAGAAGTACTCAGATCTTGTACTTGAGTAAAAGTAGAAGTACTCAGATCTTGTACTTTAGTAAAAGTAGGAGTACTCTGATCTCGTACTTGAGTAAAAGTAGAAGTACTCAGATCTTGTTCTTGAGTAAAAGTAGAAGTACTCTGATCTCGTACTTGAGTAAAAGTAGAAGTACTCAGATCTGGTTCTTGAGTAAAAGTAGAAGTACTCAGATCTCGTATTTGAGTAAAAGTAGAAGTACTCAGATCTTGTACTTTAGTAAAAGTAGAAGTACTCAGATCTTGTACTTTAGTAAAAGTAGAAGTACTCAGATCTTGTACTTGAGTAAAAGTACTCAGATATTGTACTTGAGTAAAAGTAGAAATACTCAGGTCTTGTACTTGAGTAAAAGTAGAAGTACCAGAGTGTAGGAATACTCTGTTACAGTAAAAGTCCTGCATTCAAAATGTTCCTCAAGTAAAAGTAGAAAAGTATTCTCATCAAAATATAGTGAAAGTAGCGACAGTAAAAGTAGTCGTTGTGCAGATTGGTCCATTTCAGAATAATATATATAAGTACACAGATCTTGTACTTGAGTAAAAGTAGGAGTACTCAGATCTCGTACTTGAGTAAAAGTAGAAGTACTCAGATCTTGTACTTTTGTGAAAGTAGAATATCTTAGATCTTGTACTTGAGTAAAAGTAGAAGTACTCAGATCTTGTAGTAAAAGTAGAAAAGTATTCTCATCCAAATATAGTGAAAGACAGTAAAAGTAGTCGTTGTGCAGATTGGTCCATTTCAGAATAATAGATATGATATGTTTTATAATGATTGATCATGAAAGTGTTCTCAAAGCTGGTAAAGGTGCAGCTAGTTTGAAGTACTTTGTATACTGCAGGGTAGCTGGTGGATTTACTCCAGGTGGAACTAAAGTCTGATTTAACACTTGATTAGATTTCACATCATTCATCCACATCTGTAAAGTAACTAAAAGGTATTAAATACATGTAGTGGAGGAAAAGTACACCATGTACCTCTGAACTGTAGTGGAGTAGAAGTGCTACTTAGTTACTTCACACCACTGCCATTCATCACGATAAAGCCAGAAACAAAAGCCAATTAAGTATCATACATATAAATCTCATTCTCCTACCTATGGAATCACTTACATCTCAAATATCCTTAATGTGTTTTGGCTGTTAGCAATTTAAGCGAACCTGGAACTCATTGATAGTTAATTATGAACACAGATAAACAATAGCAATGGTGACTAAAGCTAAAATAGCTAATTTAAGACCACTAGAATCCTAGTAAAGCCCAAAAGTCGACACAAACTGTGGTTATTTTAACATCCTGTTACATGTTAAAGCTGTGCGTTCAGGAAGTGTTATTCAATTTAACGGCTTCCGTTTTAATTTAGCTTAGGTTTTCTTACCATAAAACATTGCCCCTCCAGTTTCATTTAAAAGTCTATATTTGCACCGTTTTGATTTCCACACCGTGAGGATGGTTAGAAGTGCCAAGCTAGTTGCTGAAAGTAGAATTAAGGTTGTATTTTCTTGTCTTTGCTCCATCTTCATCTTCATCTTCAACACCGAGGTCAAACTTTCGGAAACAACTGTTGTGTCTTTGATTCAAGTGCTGCCTTCACTGCTGCTCGGAAATCTCTGCTTCCTCACAAACGTTCGGAAGTAACCAGTTTATCCCTATGTGAAACAATAACTACGTGTGAGTATAACTTTATTTAATATAAATAAATAGCCTTAAGATATTTTGTTGGCTACACTACGCTATTGATGCAACAAATGTGTAGGAGGAGAATCAGAATTCCATTATGAGTCCCACAGCGGGGACATTTACGGTGTTACGCAAACGTTGCATAGCATGTAGGAGAGAATCGTAGTTAAACAAATTAGTTTTAAAATAACCAAGTGACAAACATATGAAAGTATTGAGACTAAAATATGTTAGGACTGTTTTTAACCTTCTTTTTGACCATATGGTAGAGCTCACTTTGAGTGTTTTACTTAATTCCACCTGTCAGTAATCTCTACCACATGTTGACGTTATTTTTGGTGTACAACTTTAGAAGTATGTTTTTTTTTTAACTATCTAAAACCATGCTTTACTGAACGGTTGAAATTTAAATTTAGTGGTAAAAGCAGTGATGCCAAGATGACACATTTACAATTTTTATAAAAATAAAAACACATGTATTGTTTATTTAATGCAAATCAATGAAATACTGGATGACACATATCAGTATGAGATGCAGGCAGACACACAAAGACAATGCAAGAAATCAGGACACAGGTTCGTTAAATGAAGGGCAGAGACATCAAGGTAAAGTCATTTTTATTTAAAGGCACTCAAAAGAAAAGGAACTCAGGAAATGTTGCTATAAGATAACAATTGTTTGTTAGAAAAACTACAAGGTTAAACTAAAAGGATCCAAGTTGGTTCAATACAAAGTATAAAAGCAAGACAAATGCAAAACTAATCAAAAATATAAACTAAAACATAGTTAGCCAACAAAACAGCAGCAGGTGAACCTACAAGCAATGGTTAGAAATGGCTCACCATGTGGCATACAAACAATTGAGGTTCTGCCCTACTCACCACAGGAAGAGATTTTGGAAAACTACTGAACTTCAGGACAATCTGAAAGGAAGCAGTAAGTGAGCCTATAATACTAGCATGCATGACTCAATGTATCCTTAGTAATACGTTATGCAGACTACCTGTATCACCGACCATGACAAAAGAGCCAAAGAAAAGAACAAAGGCCACCAGGTGCGTTGTATACTCTAATTCAAGAGAATATCATGTTCATATACTAAATAAAACATTAAAATTCACCTTTTTTTAATGACATTTCAACCGTTTGGTAGAGGCCTATATTTAATAAAAACATCCCTAACCCAAACGGTAAGGTCCTTTGTCAAACATTGATTGTTGTTATTGGCCCAAGGGAGTACAACATGTAAATAAATAATGTATTAACCGTGATCATTGCACACTACAATTGGTTTATTGCACAACAGTCTGAATAAAATGCAATAACAACCTAAATCCATGATACATAATAATATCCAATGAGCCTAGTAAAGCCTGTTTTGCAATATAGATCACTATTTCCGAATAGCATGGCTCATGTCGTTGTGTCTTTACTATGTTATAAAATAATTCCGGTGTTTCCTGAAGCATCTGAACGCATCTCAGTGTATCTTCTTGTCCAGCAGATGGCAGTGAAAGCAAACTAACGGGCTCTCTGTCCCTCAGCGATGTCATGAGTGAATTAGTAATGAGCCTTAATTAGCTGTTTTAATTACATGTTGGGTTGTTTGTTGGTGACCCATTTTGGCATTTTATTTGCTTCAAATGTAACCCAGAATCTCCACAAATAAAAACACTTGAACATGCTTAAATATAGGCCTACGTATGGTATGTGTCAATCATTTTTGCCCTCATGTTGACTGTATATACCACAGCTAAAGGAGGTGTTATGTTATATTAGACGTGTAGTTGATGGTGTATAGAGAGGTCAAACTTACTACTGTGTTATCTGATAAAGAAAGCAATGGGCTGTTGTTTCATGAGGTTCACAACACCCTGAATTATTTATGAACGGATGTTTTTTAGTGTTTTTGGCCAGATAATATCTTCCAAATCAGGGATTAAGAGCAATGTTGACACCTCTGATGCTGCAGGTTGTTTATTACATTGTGCATAATCACTTTTCATATGTCTTTAGGTATTGTGTTTACATTTGCAATTTAGTTAAATGATGTCAACATTTCCATTAATATACGTATTTCACATACAGATATATCTACAAGAAATGCACAATTATCTAAATATATATTTTATGCTATATATTCTCAGTAAAAAAGATATGTATATATTCAGAGGAGTATCTAAACATGATAAAATATACAGAATTAATTAGAATACTCCCCTATATACCAATCTACTGAACATATAAACACTACTATTATACATATATATTGTACTATATACATTACAAAAGTGTGTAAAATATATCCTGTTTAAGAGTAAAATAAATCCTGTTTAAGAGTAAAATAAATCCTGTTTAAAGAGTCAAATATATGCTGATTAAGAGTCAATTATCTGCTGTTTACATCAAAATTAGTCAGAGTAAAAACAGAGCATTTGGTGCACCTCGCTCAGGGGGCGGTGTTCCATTCTAGACATGACAATATTAGAATAATCGCTTAGCAACCATCGCCGTAAAACGTAAGCGGGTGTCGTAAAGCGCATAGAGGCTGGTGTTGTAAAAAAGAGTGGAAACAGAACCCATTGTGGTGTTGGAGAGGAGTGAGCTGCAGACAGAAGAAGAGCCAGAAAGAGGCAATACTGTGACCACAACAAAGGACGCGTGATCTGCGGACAGATATGGACCGTAATGCACCGCAACATGTGTGAAGAGCACCGTGTTTTCCATGCAGAAAGACCCGGTACAGGAAGAGTTAAACCCCGACATCACAACTGTTTATTCCTGCAGCTAGCTGGTTAGCAACCCAGGAGCTAGACATGGAAAGCCCGTGTGAGTTTTCCTGATAGAGATCTCCGTCGAGCTGTTTTTCTCTTTGCATAATGTCTGCGAGAAGCTGCAACTTCAGGGAATGATTTCCAGGGAGCGATAAGCTTTACAGGACTGCACACCCGGAGAGGAAAGAAAGTCATACAGGTTTGTTCCACAGTTTTCTGCTTCTCTCAGTCCGTGTGCACGCTGAACTAAGTCTGTACTCATGCAGAAGCACTCGGATGTCTTATTTAATAAAAGTAGCAATACTACAGTGTTGAAATACTCTGTTAAAAAATCCTGCATTCTAAAAATGAATTGGCATTAAAAAATACTTTAAGTACCAAAAGTACAAGTACTCGTTGTGCAAACAATTAAGCACCAGATATGTTGAAATTATTTGATAAAAGTTATTGTTGCATTTGCGTTTATCACTTGGTAAATGTCTAGTTTATTGGAATCAATGTATACACTACTGGGTAGCTAAGTCATCCTTTAATATTACAATATAATGTTATTTTGTATTAATAACATCAATCTGCATAGTAACTAAATATGTCAATTAAATGTAGTGCCGTAAAAAGCGGAACATTTAACTACAAAATCTAGTAAAATGGGAAAGTAGCTCAATTCTTACAGTAGATGTACTTTCTTCGCACCACCGTCTCCTAACAGATTTCTTAGTTGTTATTGAGCACATGTCACTGTTGTTACCTCAGACATGATGCAATGTTGAGATAAGACTCTAAACTATAGTATTTTTGAGTTTTTCTATTAATAAACTCTTATCAGATGCCTAAATCCACCGATTGGAGACAGAGATTTTTATATTTCTACTATTAGATCCGCTGCAACAAAACAATTTGGCATCAAAATGACAAACATTAGCAGTCTTTCTCTATTTCATCTATTTCCAGCCATGTGAGGTATCCAACATAAACCATTATTTAATAATGAATCGGCAATGACATCCAAACAAACCTCTAAGCATGTATTTCTTTTGTCATTTGAGTGCAGAACATATTATACTCTAGCATCACCATTGCGGTTAAAGAAGGATGTATTAGCCTGAGGCAGCAGGCTATTTAATCAACCCACTATGTTTCTCCTACCATGAATATAGCACTGTAGTTTGTGTACTCAACGTCAACAGGTGTTGGTCGATTGATTTGCGTTGTTGTTGTTGACGTGAGAAAACATCAGGTTGAACTGCTTATCCATTGACACAGAGGTGTGAAAACGAATGTAAAAGAATCACTTGACTCTGAGATTTCTGTGATAAAACGCTCCTTGCAACTTCTGTCCTTGATTTCTTTGAAGAGAAGCAGATTACCACAAAGCCTTTCCGTTACAAAGTCTACAACGAGTCCTCAGGAATGTCTGTGTTCAGTTAATGAATAGAACAGGCTGCTGGGATCATCTGTCCATAACAGGAGGCTAATTGTGGAGCCTTTTCTCCAAGGTTAGTCAAAGGGAAAATAGTGCGAGGCACTTTGAGATGATCTGCTGGTGGTTGATTCGGATGTGTCTCCGCGCTCAGCGGGACATGTTGTGTGATTGTAGCCTAAACAGCTCCACAGGATCGGTGCATTTGACCTCACTCAATCAAACTCGGATTAATGGAGCAACATGAGGAGTGACCTTAAATGAAATAACATCTGTCGGATAATCAATTTGATTTCCCCCCCACTGCAAACATACTCCGCATTTGTTTTGAAAGCTTGTGTTTCATCCGCTTTCACTTAGATGACACATTTGTTTTTGCAATAGTGTTAACATGAGCTTGACAGCTTTTCAAACTTCTTGTAATAAAGACAGCTGTTTTCAAATAAACAACACCATCATGTTGAAGACTCCTGAGTTCAAGTGTTTCCTAACAGCTGCATCGGTTTTGCCGCAAGGTATCGATATTCTCCTCAAAAGCTCCAGGTTTGGTTTGGCCCACAGATGATCGGACTAATGTTGAAGTGCGGGTGCCGTTAATTGGTGCTCAGTTTTCCATTAGCCGCCATTTGTATCCATCCTTCGCCGTCTACGGTTTGCATCGAGGCAATCCGGCTGAATGTGTTTTTGA